TTTGGCCTGTGTGAGGGCGTGAACAGGGGAAAAGCCGCCCTGGTTTTCTTTTGGCCTTCCTTGACTCCTCTCTCTGCAAACAGGACCATCACCTGCGCAGCTGCCTTGCCTAATTGTATCTCCTCGTAGCGTACGAAGTGCGTCGCCCTCGTGCCTCGTTTCGGCTCATTCGATGCTGCAGGCCAATCGAAGTTACAGCGCGCCGCGACGCTGTCAAAGTCGTCCCCGCTCTCGTCGTCACTTCCATCCAGCTGCGTCCCCCCTGCTGCCGTGTGTCGTGATAGTTCGTCTGGTACTGTCTCTGGTGGCTGCGCCGTTCCTGTCCGGAAGATCTCCCCAGTGTAGATGCTACACACCTCAAATTTCTCTAGCCTCCTCGTCGCCAGTAGGCCGAGTTCCCCTTCCGCTATGCTAGAGGGGCCTACCTTCGCCCCTTCCACCGTGCCGCCCGTCGTTAGCATGGCCGTCGTTACTTTCGCCGCCGCCTCTGCTGCTTGTCGGCGGAGCGCCTCGCGCCTTCCCTCGTCTCCATGCTCCTGGTCTTGTTCTTTTTGTTTTCCTGCGCTTCCTGTCGCTGGTCCGGCGACGTATCTTGCCGTCTGCCTTCGCTTCCTGGCGGGCCGCGTTTCCTTCCCCTCGTCCCGTCTGTTTTCTCCTGCGTGGTCGCCCTCGCGTGCGCCGCTCGCCGTCTGTTCTCCTCTCTGCTCGCCGTCCTCGTCCCCTCGCTGTCGTCGCTTCCCTCCGGCGCTCGCCGCATCGTCGTTCCTATCACCGCGTTTCCTGCGCTGGCCTTCGCCTTCGAGCTCGCAGTGGGTCGTTTTGAGTGTCATCCCCATCGCTCTCGTCGTTCTGCCTCTCCCCGCTTCGAGGCGTCTCTCTGCCTCTTCCCTTTCCTTCTCCTCGGCATCACGTTGTCGATGTCGCCTCCGTCGCCAGCAAATACACGCATTCGCCGCCCACTCCATTTCTCGTATCCTCTCCTTCCTTTCCTTCTGTCCCTCTCTCAGGCGTTCTGTTTCCGCGGCTACTCGTTCCTTCCTCTCCGCCTCGAGTCCCTTCCTCTTCCCTTCCCGTACTTTGATTATTGATGCCGCCGTCTGCTGCAGTGCCTTGAGTGAAGTCACCACCCGTGTGTCATACTCCCTCATGATGTCTTCTGGCGGGTCCTGGTCCATCACACTCGGCTCGGGTAGTCGTCCAGCTAGCAGTTGCTCCATCGCCTCCCATTCCTCGTCGCTCTCCCTTCTCCCCGCGCATCTCTTCGTCGCCCCAGCAATGGCGCGTACAGCGAGCGCCTGGGCTTCGCACTCTGCGGTGTGGGCGAGTGTCCGCCTCCTTGACTTCGGCGGCGTCCATCGTAGCGCCTTGAGCACGTCCGCCGCGCCTTTCCTCATCGCCCGGTGGTGCTCCCTCCTCTCCCCCTTCACCGCCTCGCACTCGGCGCATAGGACGTGCCTAGTGATTGTCCTGCAACATCCAGGATGCCAGCAACCTTTAGCCCCATCGGCACATGCTCCTCCTCCCTTTTCGTCCCACCCGTCCTGCCACGCCTCTGCCTCTAGGCTGGCCCTCCATCGCCTCCCGTGCTCTATACCTCGGGTCTGTCCCGTCCGCATGCCGTGTACCAGCCTTAGCCTCGCCTTCTCCCCGCAGGCCTCGGGCTGGCGCTGGGTCGATTTTGGACCCCGTTCTCTGTCTCCCTCGTATCTCGTGTCGCCTGATATCGTCCCCGACGCCTTGATTACCGTCCTCCACACGTTGTCGTCTCCTCCCTTTCGCGCTGCGTGCCCGCCGTCCAGCCGCTTTCGTACCCACCGCCCAATTTTCTCCTTCGCTTCTTGATACAGCCTCCTGTCTCGGATCTCCGGCGCCTGCCCCTCCTCCTCATGCATGTAGATGCATGCCCTGTTCGTCACGTGTCGTGCTAGGTCCATCTCGTACGCGCTCGTTACCCTGCTCCGCAGGTGTGCCTTTGCCGCCGCGTCCGCCATGGAATTGGGCGCGTTGCCCGCATGCCCCTCCGTGAAGATGAAAATCACGTACCCTCCGTGGCGCTGTATAATGTCGATTTGTGCTTGCACCGCCGCATTGAGTGCGCTCCTATTTGTCTCGCCGCGTGTCCGCCCCCGATACGCCCGTTCGATCTCCTTGAGCGCCGTCTCGCTGTCCGACATTACTAGGCATCGGTGAGGCTGGAGGGTCGTTTCTGTCTCGTCCGCCTTCGTGCGCAGGAAGCTGTAAATGGCGTACATCTCGGCGTCGACAATCTCCCACGATCCCGGCAGGGCGCCTCCCCATATTCCCCGTCCTATTCGCTCGTGAATCTGTGCCCTGGTCTCTTGTGTGTCGTCATCTCCCTCTTTCGGCTGCACGCCCTCCCATCCCCCGAATGATGCTAGCCTTCCGTCTCGAGTCTCCTTCAGCGATGTGATCAATCTCCCTTCCCCCCCTGTGCGTCGCGACGCCCGTGCCCAGCGACTCCATTTGTTCGGTCTCTAGCAGGTCATCCATCTCCGTGTCCGCTGTCCCCATTTGCCGCCCTCTTTCCTCCACCCATTTCCGCGTTACAGCATTCATGTCGCCGATGATGAGCACCCTCTCGTGCGTGTCGTGTCGTATCGCTTCTTTGAGCTCCTTCCACGCCTTGGCGATTTCGTCATTGCTCTTTCCTGTATCGGGCATATACGCGCCGTACACGCTGATTCGGTGTTTCCCATCGAGTGTTTCGAGTATCACCCTCCTCACTCGTGCAGCGATTATGTCGACCTCCTGTTCTGGTTCAACTTTTTTGAGTTTGTCGGTGTTCCATACGATGGTCACGCCACATCTCGTTCGCCCGCGTCCGCGCTTGGCGTTTTGCGGGTCGCTGCTCGTGCCCGCCCCCGATGTTGCTCCTGTCTGCCCTGTGTTGGCGTCGGCGTCGGTGTCGCCCTCCCTCTCGCCGCAGGCAACGCTGGTTCCATACCCCTCAAGATCCCATCTCCCTATCACTGCAGCTCTCTCGTCCTCTGTCGTCGTGCTCTCCGAGATGACTCCAAGATCGCCGCGATGGTCATTCATCATGTTGATTACGCAGGCCATCGCTTCACTTGGTGTGGTGGCCAGGTCCTTCCCATTGCCCGTTTCTTTTCTCCTGTATACGTCACTTTCTCTGCTTACCATGTGCTGGCCGGGTCGGTTGTATGCGAATATTCGGATCCTCTTGATATCGGCCTTGCTGTTTCGCCGTCCCCTTCCGACTGCGTCGCCTTCCTCGCACGCACTCCGACGTCTCCCAAGCATCCTCTCATTGTCTGTGAGGGTCCGGTGCCGCGGTATCGCAAGGCTTTGCACTCTCAACTTTTGGCGTCTCACGGACGCCGTCGCGCGAACGCCGTCGTTTTGAACGCCTCGCTCGTTGGTAGCTCCTCTCTCGTTCTGCTCCTCTCCCGTGCTTGTCCTCCCATTGTCTCGGGTTGTCGCTCTCCTCTGACGCAGCCCTCGTGTCGAAGTGGAGGGTGTTGGACCCCTTCTCCTCGTGGTTGACTGTGTGATTGGCATGCAGCCCCGACCCCTCTCGTTCATCCTGCGTCGGCATGCGCTGGCGCGGCTGGTCGGGCTGTCGCTCTGTGGCGCATGTCGTCTAAGGAGGTCTTCCTCGCGGCATTGCGCCCGCCGAATACTAACACGCTCGCGAAAAGAAATTCGTTGAGAAGAGTTTCCTATCGGCTCGAGTATGGGTCTGTTCGGCGGCCGGGGTTCGTCGAGGTGTTTTACAAACTTTCTTAAGGCATTCTTACTGTACTCCTTACGCTCCATGCACTCCGATTCCTGTCGTTTTCCGCTGTCTCCCGCCGATTTCGGTTTCCTCACCCCCCCCCTCTCCCTAAACGATCGAAAAAATAAATTTGATATCCGGGAGTGTTCATCGAAACTATAAGTGGGGTCCCACGTCCTCTCAACTGCATCTCCCGTGTGTGTCGGGCGGGGCGAGTCGGTCTGGCTCATGTTGTGGTGTTGGCGTCTGCGGGCCTCTGTGGTGTGGGCACTGGTGTTGGTCCCCATCTGTGTGTGTCCGGCTCCCACGGCGCGTTCAGTGTGCGTGTCCCTGTGTGTTAGTGATGGGTCGATCCCCGTACGCCCTGGCCCGGTCCCGCCCTCCCGTGTCGCCTTGTGTTCCGCTCGCGCGCGAGGGTCCATATTCCTTGCGCTCTCTCCTCTCTGTCTCTCTCCTCGTCGCGCGCGCCTTCCCTCCGGCTCTCTCCCGCGCATCTCGGTGCGCGGCCACGACACGCCGCCTCCTGCCACGGCGTCGTCCGCCTCCTCGTGTTGCACGGGTCGCGTCGGTCGCATTCCGCTGGATCTCCTCGCCGCGCGGCGCAGCCCGTGTCTCTCTTTTTCTATCCTCGTTGGTTCCTGTCGCGCCGCCGCTGCCTCGCCCCCGCTCGTCCGTCGCCGTTCCTCGCCGCCTACATCCCGGTCGCCGTGGTACTCATGTCCTATTCTCTCTGCTGCTTCTGCGCTGTCACCCTGCCCCTCATCTCCATGTCCCATCGCATCGCAGTGTCGCATCGCACTGCGCCTATGGCTTTCGGCTCTCGTGTAATGTTCGTGGCTGGCGTCGCACGCGCTGCTGATTCTCTCGCGCTCGCGCCTCTGTCCTCTCTGGTCTCCTCGCGGCGGCTTGGTGGCCTGTGTGCCCTCTCTCGCTGGTGCGGGTGCTCTAGTTTTCTGCGGTTTGCGGTGTGGGCGTTTTGCCTCGTTTCGTTTCAATTTTCGCGCGAACCCACAAGCCTGTGGGCCGCTATCTGATGGCCTCCAGCCGGAGGCCCCATCTCGGACACCAGCCGGTGTGCCGAGGACCAGGTCGTACGCGGGAAAACTCATGCCGCCATGGCGGAAAAAAGAGGTAACGGGGGGAGATGTCTTGCGAGAGCCGGGGGGCGCGCAATCTCGGTTGATCTCGGATCAACTCGTCTCGGCCCTACTCTCGGCGAATCTCGGCAAATACCTCATCGTCCATGCCCATTGGACGTTTTGGTGAATCTCGGCTCTCGGTTTGAGTATTGGCTCTAATCTCGGCCAATTTCTCAGCTAGGCCCGTTGTGAGCAGATGCAACTCCGTGCAGACAGCCCCCCCCACGCCGAGACACAGTTACGTTAGCACACCCTCTGTGCCGGCGCTCTTCAATCCAACGTGGTTGTCAGAGTTGTTCCACAGCGCCCCCGCCGCTGCCTCCTTCTGCGCCTCATTCCCGTCGCGAGCCAGCGACACGAGGACCTCGATACCACCGGCCGCAACAACCGCCACGCTGTTGTCGTCGTTGGAAGTGAGGCCCCACATCGCCCCAACCGCAAACTCCTTCTGCCCCTCAGTCCCGTCGCGAGCCAGCGCGATAAGGACATCAATGCCGCCAGCCGCCGCGATCGCCACGCTGTCGTCGTCGTTGAAAGCGAGAATCCTCAGCGCCCCCGCCGCACACACCTTCTGCCCTTCTGTCCCGTCGCGAGCCAACGACACGAGGACATCGATGCCACCAGCCGCCGCGATCGCCACGCTGTTGTCGTCGTTGGCAGAGAGGTTCCACAGCGCCCCCGCCGCATGCTCCTTCTGCCCTTCATTCCCGTCGCGAGCCAGCGCGATAAGGACATCAATGCCGCCGGCCGCAGCAATCGCGACTCTGTTGTCGTCGTTGATAGCGAGGTTCCTCAGCGCTCCCGCCGCACGCTCCTTCTGCCCCTCATTCCCGTCGCGAGCCAGTGACACGAGGACCTCGATGCCGCCGGCCGCAGCGATCGCCACTCTGTTGTCGTCGTTGGCAGAGAGGTTCCACAGCGCCCCCGCCGCATGCTCCTTCTGCCCTTCATTCCCGTCGCGAGCCAGCGCGATAAGGACATCAATGCCGCCGGCCGCAGCAATCGCGACTCTGTTGTCGTCGTTGTGAGCGAGGTTCCTCAGCGCCCCCGCCGCACGCTCCTTCTGCCCCTCATTCCCATCGCGAGCCAGTGACACGAGGACCTCGATGCCGCCGGCCGCAGCGATCGCCACTCTGTTGTCGTCGTTGGCAGAGAGGCTCCACAGCGTCCCCGCCGAACGCTCCTTCTGCGCCTCACTCCCGTCGCGAGCCAGCGCGACGAGGACCTCGATGCCGCCAGCCGCCGCAATCGCCGCCTTGTTGTCCTCGTCCAGGGCAAGCTCCTGGAGCGTTGCCGCGACGTCCGCCTTCTCGTCCTCGCCTCCAACCCGTAAGAGAGCGACGAGCGCGTCCACCCTCCTGCTGCTGGCCTCCTCTCCCGACAGCCGCCTGAGCTCTCCGAGCGCAGCAGCCCGCAGCTCCGAGGAGGCATCGCCAGCGGTCTCCACCAGCCGCGCGAAGGCACCGCGCGGCGCGCAGATCAGGGACCACCGCTTGCACACGGCCGCGTGGCGCAGGCCCGTCTTCTCGAGCACGCACGGCGCAAGGTCCGGGTCCGCGAGGACGTCGGTCGCGACGGCGGGCGGAGGGCTGTGGTGCGCGAGGAGCGCCTCGGCCCTCCTGTTTGCAGCGGGGCTGTCCCGCATCGCGCCGGCGGTGATCGCGATCAGGGCATCGGGCGGAAGAGCGGCGAGCCGCAGCTCGTACCGGGCGGAGGCGAGCATTTCGCGAGACAAAAAAGAATTCGCGCAGTGATTTCACCGTTGTTTCTAAAGAACGAAAGACCCTCGTCTCGAGTCGGCGCGATTTTTCTTCGGCCTTGCAGTTGCGGCGTCGATTTCTTGCGCATTGATATCCGCTGCTCGACAGCCGCTCCTCCTCGCGAGCGCATGGGCGCTGGCGCCAGCGGCACTCGCCCGCGAGGCGCTTGTCGCCTACCGCGCCAGCGAGGAGTGCGTGGCGGCCGACAAGGTGCTCGCACGGGCGCTGCGAGGCGAGAGTTCATTCACTGACGCCGAGCGGCGGGTGGCAGCTGACGTTTTCCTCGGGACCGCGACGCGGCTGCGGCGGTACGAGTGGATCTGCGCCCAGCGCGGACTGTGCGGCGCCGCGAGCGACGCCACTGCGGTGGCGGCGGCGCTGCTCCGAGCGCGAGACGAGGACGACGGCGCTTACACATGGCCGGCAGACGCAGACGAGAGGCTGAGCGCCATGAGCGGCGCTCCGCTCTGGCTCTCCGCGCGTTGGCGGCGCGACCTCGGCGAAGCAGTCGCCGCCGCCGTCGCCGGCCAGTCGACGAGGCGCGGACCGGTCACGCTACGCGTGCGCGACGACGTCTCGATCGGTGCGGTCGAGGAGGCGCTCGCGGCGGCAGGAGTGGTGACGGAGCGGCCGCCGGCGGGTGTCGGTGCGCCTCGAGCTCTCACCCTGGTTGGCGGCCGGCCGCGGGGCGGCGTGTGGGCGCTGCCCGGCTGGAGTGAGGGCGAGTTCGAGGTGCAGGACGCGGGCTCGCAGGCGATCGTCGAGGCCTGCTTCGACGGCGGCGGCGGCGGCGGCGGCGGCGGCGTCGCGCTCGACATGTGTGCAGGCAATGGCGGCAAGAGCCTTGCGCTGGCGGCGCGAGCGAAAGAGCTGGTGCCACGCCTCCCTCGACCCTTCCCTGAAGGTGCTCGCGCCCTTCCTCACAGGCGCGAGCGACGGAGCTCTGGTGCCACGACGTGGACGTCGGCCGCCTCGCGCGGCTGCGCGCTCGAGCGAGGTGTGCCGGGCGTGGCGGTGCGGCCGTCATACGACATGCACATGCGCATAACTAGTGTATGTCCTGTGCCGAGGCGCGCGGGCGTGGTGGTGCGCTGCTCAGACGGCGAGTCGATCCCCGACGCGGCCTTCGACCTCGTCCTCGTCGACGCTCCCTGCAGCGGCTCGGGCGTCCTGCGACGCTTGGGGCGGACGGTCACGCCCGCCGCTGCGCCGCCCGCCGCTGCCGCGCTCAAGTTCGTCAACGGGCCGAACGTCTCCAATTCGACGGCGATCTCGAACTCCGACAATTGGACCGGTGCACCAGCCAGGCAGGCCGAAACGGAGGTAGAGAGACGCCAACGCCTGGTGCCCCTTCTGCCACCGCGTTTGGTTTTGGATGGAGCCGAGTTTCCCGGCCATGAGCCGGCGGCGGACGACAGCTTCAAGCAGAAGATGCTTCAGACGAGCGGCGCCTTCGACACGGACTGCGACCGATGGCTGCACAACACGCACGCGCCAGACGAGGCAGCCCTGCGCGGCGAGGCCCTCCAGAAGCTCACGTGGCTCGAGGAGGCGCTGCGCCAGCACGGTGGCCCCTTTTTCCTTGGCGCAGAGCCGTCCATCGTGGACGCCGCCTTTGTGGGCTTCCTGACCAACTACAAATTCTTCAAAGGACTCGACGTCCACGAGGTCGGCTCGGCGTGGCCGCGGCTCTCCGCGTGGCTGCGTGCGGTGGAGCGCACGCCCGGCGGCCTCCCACACGACGAAGCAGGACGTCGCCTTCGAGCAGCGCATCTACCCTCTGCGCCGGGCGGTGGCGGAGCCGTGCATGCAGCTGCACCCGACGCGCCTGGGAGTGGGCGAGCCGTCAGACTGGCGGGCGGCGCTCCCCTCGCTGCCGGTGGCTGCCCTTCAGCCGGGAAGGGCCCCGCTCCTTCGTCGACCGCGGGGGCGGAGGTAGCGGAGGCGGCGGAGGAGCGGGCAGCCACGGAGCGGCATCTCTGCGCCGTGGCGGCGGTGCTCACGGGGCTGCAGCCCGCGGCGGAGGCCGCGCGGCACGCGGGCGGCCCCGCCGCCATCCGATCTGGCCCGGTGGCGGCGCTCGGCTCGCTGGTCGGCACGCCTCGCGATATGTCGGTTGCCGCGGCGGCCCAGCTTAGAGCAGCGCTGGCGTCACTGACGCCGGGGGAGGAGGCCGGCTAGGGGGTAGAAAACTCGTGAGAAAAATCCACAGCCGCTGGGAAAAGAATTTTTGAAAACGTCGAGAGTACGGCCCGATGTGCTTGATGGAACACAAGTCTCAAAACCTCACCGGTCACCGCGCCACGCCTTGGTTGGACACGGGCTTGAGCCGGGCCGCGCCGCCGCTGATCGCGGCCATCAGCGCCGACCGCGCGTCGCTGGGGGCAGCACCAGCGGTCTGCTCGGACGATGTGGGTGGCGGTGGCTGCGGTGGCGGTGGCGGCGGTGGCGGTGCAGAAGTCATTGTGACTGGCGGTGGCGGCGCGAGCGGTGGCGGCGCGAGCGGTGGCGGCACGACGCCCTCTCCGCCCTCGTAGTCAGGCAGCGACGCGACCCTCTGCCGCAGTAAGCCGATGAAGCGCTGCGCAGCGGCGCCTGTCGGCTCGGCCACCGCGAGGGCGTGCGCCACCGCGCGCAGCTCGGTCGGCTGGAGCCCGGAAGTGCCCATCGCGCCGAACGAGCCGGGTGGCATCTTCCGAACCCGCTCCGGTGGCTCCAGCACCAACCGCAGCTCTGGCCGGTTGGAGACGCGCCGCCAAGATGCGGTCTCGTCCGCGGCGAGTCCGCCCGACGAGTGTGCCGCCTGCAGCCGCCTCCACTGCGCGGCACACTCTGCAAAAGCGGCGGCGTTCATCGCCGCCTGGCGCCGCCGCTCCGCTCGCTCCGCGGCGTCGCGAGACTCGTCATGCACGCGCTGCTCCCGGGCGAGCCTCGCCTCCTCCGCCTGCCGCTCCATCAGCCTTGCGCGCCGCTTCTGCGGCAGATCGACGACCTCGCCGAGCCGAATCAAGGTCATCTCGGCCATGCCTGCGTCGAGCGACAGCGTGCGGTGAGGTCAGCTCAGGGTGGGACGGGCTTCGCTCTGTCTCACCGCACCGCGCACGGACGGCGGCGTCTCCTCGTCAAGGTAGACCTCCGTGTACCATCCGTACTCGCTGCGCACGTCCTCGTCCGGAAGTCTGTACAGGTGCGCGTCCCGCTCCGTGTACAGCTCGCCGCTCGGCTTGCCTCCGCCACGGCAGCACTGCAGGATGGCCGCCTTGGAGGTGGGGAGGTGGGGTTAGGGGTGGGGATAGGAGTCCTGCTCCGGCGGCGCACTGCAAGGCCACCTTTGCGGCGGCATACCCCTTCTGCGCCAGCCGGTCCTCCCGCTCCTGCTCGTCCTCCTCCTCGCTGCTGTCGCCCTCGCCGCCCCACCCGCGGCAGCCCCGCCGCCGGCCGGCCGCCGCCCCGTGCGTCCCACCGGCCGCCGCCGTCCCACCGGCGAGCAGGGCACGGTTCTCCTCCTCGAGCCTGCGCTGGCTCGCGTGCGCCTCCGCCAGCTTGGCCTGCACCGTGGCCAGTGCAGCCTCGGTGGCCGACTGCAGCAGTGCCGCCGGCAGCGCCGCCGACGGCGGCTCCGAGCGCGCGAGCATGCGCGTGATGAGAGCCCGGCAAAGCACAAACTCGCGCAAACACAGGGGGTCGTCGCCGTCGAGGTCCGACCGGCTCGAGACAGCGCTGTCTCGTATGCACGCCTCCAGTAGCGCCTCAACATCGAGGCCCGAGGTGTGCAGGCTGCCGGCCTGCGACTTGCCGACGGCGTGGATCGACTCGGCAGCGCGTCCGCTCAACGCATCGGAATGCGCCGCAGCCGCGACGGCGAGCGCATCGAAATCGCGCACGCACATCGCGGCATCCTCGGGGTCGCTCGTCCACGATTCGTCAGCGGCAGCCGTCTCCGCTGCGCCCGCCTGGGCCTGCTCCGCCCTGGCTGCCTCTGAGAGCAGAGAGTCGCCCCTCCGCAGCTCATCTGCGGCGCGCGCCACGGCGGCGGCAGCGGATTGCGCCTCCACCTCGCGAGAGTCAATCTCGAGCCGCGCGGCAGCCAGCCTCGCCTCGGAGGCGCTGCTCTCCGCCGCCGCGGCCAGCAGCCGCTGCTCGAGTCGCTCGGCCTCCGCCCACGCCTTGGCCGCCGCACTCTCCGCAGACTCCACCGCCTCCGCCTGCTGCGCAGCCTCCACCGGCCCCATCTTCACCTCGTCAGGCTGCCGCCTGCTGCCGAACGTCGTGGTCTCGAGCAGTGGAGGCTGCCGCCTGCTGCCGAAGGTCGTGGTCTCGAGCAGTGGACGGCCTCCCCGGACGCCGGGCATAGCATCGGGCGCAGCCGCTGGCGTAGCGGCGGGTGTGGTGGCGGGAACGGTGATGGTGGCAGCCGAGACGGAGGCGTCGAGAGGCGTCACCCGCAGCCGTCGGTGGAGAAGGTGCCGCAGCGCGGCCACCCAGAGGCCAAGGTTAACCTCGCTATCGAAGGAAAGGTCGAGCGTCTCGCGCCTGCCCATGCCGAGCACGCCGTCCTCGTCCTCGTCTGCCGACGGTGGCGCTGGCAGCGCGCCACGCAGCACAATCGAGAGTGAGAGATGATCGTTGCAGTCTGTCGCTCGGCGCTTGAAGACGGCGGACTCGCGTCCGATGCACAGATCGACGGCGTCCGAGAGGTGGAGGAGCCGACCCGGCTCCGCAAACTGCCCTCCGCGCCGCGTCGGCTTCAGGGTGTGCGATTTACGAGGCGTCCATGTCCATGTTAGAGTGTGCTCGTCTCGTGATAGCCGGAAGATGGTGGCATGAGGCTTGCCGGCGCGGCCGTGCTTGCGAGCGGGCGCGCCACGCTTGAGCAGTGCGAGGCCCTCTCGCGCAGAGGCTGTGGCCGGGAGGTGGCTGTACATGAACCGACAGAAGGCGGCTCGGGATAGAGGCGGCGGCAACCAGCGAAAAAGAATTTTTTGGAGCGGCTACCGGGCGTCTGGGGGAGTGTACAGGTAGTGGGGAAGGCAGCCTCGATTGCCATACAGACATGGGTGCGAAACAACGACAAGACCAAGGCACGGGCAGAGGAACGAGAGAAGAATATAGGGTGGATAAAGCGCCTGTTCACGGCATGGAGGGTGAGCCAGGGAAGACAAGGACGTCGACGTGCAGCTGCTGCTGTTCGAGTCGTTCGGCGGGTTCGGGAAGGGGGTCGGCGAGATCCTCTGGAAGGCGGCGAACGTGCTGCAGAACAAACTGACGCGGGCCCAATACCTCGATGAGGTGACTTGGACCACCAAGAGCTGGCTGGGGCTGCAGAAGCAGCGTATCTCAGTCGTTCTTCACACGGCCATCGCAGACGCGCCAGTCCCGTGCCCAGTGTCGTGCGAGGGAGTTTTGTTGTAAAATTCTTGCTGGCAATCCTCGCTACCCAACGCGGCCAAAGGATATCCACCTCGAGAACCTCGAGAACCTTGCTGGTCGAGCGACCCGGGGGATGCCCCGCGAGCGACCCAGGCGCGAGAAACGAATCTGCGAGGCGTGGCCGCTTATGCGGCCCGATGGGGAGGAACGGGGCGGACTACGGGGATCGGCTTCTTACGCCGCCCTTCCTTGCACCGAGCCCCCTCCAACCCACCCGCGCTACCGGGTCCAGCCCCGCGCCGACTCGGGAGCTAGCCGCCTCGAACTAGCCGCCTCGCGTCACACCAATCCTCGCTACTCAACGCGGCCAAAGCGCGCAGCGCCGCCAGTGCGGGATTTGTGTATATGCGCGACGCCATGACCCCCTCCCCCTCCACCCGTCTCCCACCTCCTCCGACCGACGTCGCGCTCGCCGCGGTGGGCGGCTGCTACGCGGCGCACGCGCTGCTGCTGTGGCGAGCGGACCGGCGTGAGGCGGGCGTCCCGATCATTCTCGCGGCGCTCGAGGCGCAGACCTGCCCCGCGAGCGTGCTCGTGCCGCAGCGGCTGCTGGCGAGCGGGTCGCTGCTCCCGGCGGCGGTGGCGTCGGCGCTCGCGTGGGCACCGCGGGAGGCGGAGGCCGGCGCCGCGAGGGAGAGCCTCCTCGCGGCGCTCGCGGCGCACGCACTCGCGGCGCTGACCGGGCGGGCGGGCCTCATCTCGGAGCAGTGGCCGCGGGCGCGCGCCGCGCACGTGCCGGCGCTAGCGCTGTGCGCCGCCCGCCTCCGCCCGCTCCGGCTGTGGCGCCGGCTGAGGGAGGAGCGGGTCGCGCCGCCGTCGCGCCGCCTCGCGGAGCGGATCGGGCTCGGCGCGGCCGCGGTCGGGCTCGCGCCCGTCGCCCTTCCGGCCGGCCCGCTCGCTCGCGGCTGCTTCGAGTGCGTCGGCGCGTCGGCGGCGCTGCCCGCGCGCGCGCTGCGGGAGGCATGCGCGCCGACGGCGCTCCTCGGCCTCTGCTGCGCGGCGCTGCAGCTGCCAAGGAGTGGGCGGCGGCGCTGGCTGCGGCCGGTGGGAGCCGCCTCCGCGGCGCTCGGCGCGACGAGGGTGTGGGAGCTCGCGGGCGCCAGGGGCGCAGGCCTGCGCAGGCCGGTCCGCGCGGTGGGAATCTGTGTCCACGCGCTCTGCGGCGCGGTTGCGATTCGCTGGCTGTGCGTCGGAGAGCGAGAGCGCGAGGAGGGGGAGGGTGGCGAGGACGAGGGAATTCAGTACAAATAGACACCTCACTAGTAGATTGCCTTTTGATTCCTTGACACGTTTTTGCCTCGCTCTCATCTCAGCCCCCGCTGCGGCCACCGGAGCCGTCGTCCGGCGCCTCCGAGTCCGTGAGCGTGACCCGCACCGTGTCCGACTCACCCCACCGGCGCTGCTGCCCCACGTATGCGCGGTGGGTGTCTCTGTCCATCTCGACGGTGACGATGAGCGCCTCGCCGCTCCCCGTGGTCGCCGTCTCGAGCACGCTAATCCGCGGGTGGCGGTGCAAGTACGAGAGCCGCTCTCCAAGCCGTCCTGGCCATCAATGGAGGCAAGCAGGTGGTGGGCTGGAAGCCGCCGGTCGTTGATGCCGCGGTACGCGCGCCGCTCGCCGAGCAAAGTCACGGGCCATCTCGGGTAGTCTAGGGCCATCTCGGGTAGTCTAGGGCCATCTCGGGTGATCTCGGGTAGTGTCATCTCGGGTAGTCTCGGGTCATCTCGGTAGTCGGGTAGTCTCGGGCAAT